ATTTATTCATATTATCTTGGAAGCAAATATGGGGTTGACATCCATTAACAGTTTGTAAGTTTTCTCAGAGCCAAACATCTGCTTTGGCATCCAACGATGCTCACAAACTTTTTTTTCTTGAAAGGAATGTCTGTTGAGCACTTATTAACTTCATTTGTGCTTTATGACTATCCTTTAAGTAGAACACTTAGAGAAATTCTTGAAGTTTAAGACAATCCTAAAGATTCAAGACATAGACTCAAGAAGTAAATAAATCCTTTCTTTAACGCACTCCAGCTATGACAGAAAGTATGCAGAGTGTCCCTTTAGACTTCTCCTGGGAGGGTCCCCTGATGGGACGAAGGTGAAAGGGCTTGCCTGGAATGCCACTCCCGAGTGACGACACACACTGAGGTCAAGTGTTTTTCTATGCACTGCGGGGAAATCGCCTAAAAGGGGGTTAAAACGTTGATTGGAGATGTTGCAAGTAGAGAAAAATGCTTACTTCAATTTAACTTCTGCTTTTCAGAAGACTTGAGTACATAAATTATGTAGAAGAATGGTGATTACTAGACAGTCTAAAAGCTGGAGGCTCTAGGCCAATTTTCAACCAACTGTCACAGAACATAAGTTTCAATATCTGTTTAAACTAAACTGACAACTACAGAAAAAATGTAAAGTTCTTTGAAAGGCTGGGTTATGTGAACTGACGAGGATCTCAGAAACCACAGGCCATTTAACACACGGCAGTGCTTCCCTGCACGTTCCAGCCACTCTCTTCTGGAGGGAATATTCACGGAGGTGGAACAGATGCTTCCCCAAATTAAGCTAATGCAAGCAGTAGGCAGAGTCTTCCCAGGACAGAGTGGCCAACACAAACACGGTTCATCCAAAACAAAAAAAAAGAAAAAAAGAAAAGGAAAGGGCTCGGAGCAATCTTCTGGCCCAGAAGCTCTGGAGCTGGAAGGAGCTGAGCCAGGAAGTGTGTGTGTGTGTGCATGGCTTTCCCACCTTTCCAAGCCAGAGGACCTCCGCTCTTCGCTGCTTTAGACACCAGCCTCCCTGGAGGACTAGAGTGACTGCCACATGCCAAGCTCCACGGGTCACAAAGCAAGGCCGGAGAGATGCCATTAGGTATCCGCAGTGCCAGAGAGGTAGCATTCGAACAAGAAGTGTGTGCGTCTCCAGCTAAAACGCCATTATACCAATAATGCAAGCTCTAAGACTTTAGGGAGTAAAGTATTGAAAACTGAGATGAGGAATTATTTTCTGACACAGCTACTTTGCAGAATAGCTCTTGATGTCACCTCTAGACACACATCTTCATGACTCTTGGAGCAAGTCCCTTTCCTCTATACCTGTCCAAGGAGTTTCGGGGAGTCTGTGCAACCCCTACAATAGCGCATTAAATTTGACATGTTTGTGTGTATTTTGGAGGAGCTGGTCCATAGCTTTCATGTTGTTCTTCAAGAGTCCTGTGATCACCCAGAACAATAAGCACCGGTGTGCTTGAGCAAGGGAACCGAAGGGAAGAGGGCCACAAAGGCATAGTTGATGTTTAGCACCAGGAAAACTGGTCGGAAACTGCCCTAACATGAGACGTATGTTTTCCATTAAGCTGCTCAGGTTACACAGGTACGTGTGCACGGAGGTACAAACGAAAGCTGCGTGGTGCTCATGAAAATACAGTGCTTGGTAGGCTGATAAAAACAGATTTCATTTTACTTCTTGGAGTTTACAAACTCAAAAAAATACCCAAGGAATGACATGCAACCTTCCCTGGTAAACCAAAACCGGGACTCCAAAGCCCTGAATGATTTGGGGGCCAGGGGGTCCTTTCTGTCCCCCTTCAGAAAACGGTGGTAAGAGACCTGATGCCCACGGACGGAGAACAACCGCTTCTTTCAATTCCGCTGTAGACTCTTCGGGGAAAACGCTCATCTTTCATAACTGTGTCAATTAGGCAAACACTGAGAACTGCCTCCTGCCCTTTACGCTGATGGTGTCCGGGAAGAGAGAGGCTGACGTAATCCTGAAGGTGCAGCTAATAGGGGATTATTATCCATTATGGGATGCCTTTCCCTCCACTTTCCCTCCAACCGAGACGGAGAGAGGGCTAGCTGCAGACACAGGGCAGGATCTGACTATCTGCCTGTGCAGACTGACAAGAAATAGATCGTTGGGAAAACCCATAGAGCTTGAGTGAACACGAATTTGGGAAACAGTCCTGCACTGTATTTTGAAACAAGGTTCAGTATTTATCGGGAGCATCTCCTATAATGAAGTAAAATAGAGAATTTCCTGAGGCTGGGAGAGTATCATCATCTAAGAAAACCAGGAGTGACACTGGGGTTTCAGGGTGAAGACGGATCCACAGAGCTTCTCACCTGTGCCTCCCCAGTGAGAGGAGCACGTCAGGGAAACTGGAAACTACTGACAGGAAGATGGTCTGTGCCAAGAGGCACCAGGCCAAGAAGGTGCAGAGACATAAATCGGGCAGTGGCACTGATGTAATTATGGGCTTAGAGGAATTCTCAAAGCCAGACCGGAAGTCAAACCACAGTCCTTATGGGAAAAGAGAGAGTATGAAGATAATTAGAAGAAAAAGGGCAAGGGAAGATATTTTACTTAAAAGCACAACACACACACACACACACACACACACACACACACACACTCACACACACACAGCAAGCCTACAACTCTAAATAAAACTCAGTGTCTGCACAGGGACATGCGTACGGCAGGACGGAGGGAGGCAGGGGCCACACACAGCTTTATAAGCGCGGCTGCAGAGCTGGGCTGCACGTGCACGGCTGGGTGGGATTCCCTCCCCGGGGCCTGGAGGAGCCCTGAAGTCCATGTGACTTGTGAGCGTCCAGAACAAGGATCTCGGGAGGGAATTTCACAAGCACAGAACATATTTTTCCTCCCTCGACGCTGCTTTCTAGTTTTTCTCTCCCTCTGCTATTGTTTAATTTGTGGTTCAACTTTTTGAAGAATGGTGGGAGGTACCGTGTTAGGCAATGCTGTAAGAATGAGGCTCAGCTGCTAGGACTGCATTTTGAAAACTGGCCTCCCACATCTTTCAAACCAATTGTGATTCTACTTAACACAGAAAGGAAAGAGAGATGCAGGGAGGAGAGCGGGCGGGAGTCTTATTCATCCTCCTGCGCGCACCATCTACGTCCAGCGCACAGTAGGCGCAGGACAGATGCTGCTGACTCATGGGAACTGGTCATTTTTATCTAAAGAGCCCTGGTTCTGTTTTGTTTCCACATAGGAGCCAAGAGTTGTGTCACTTAATGTGTTTTTGAGCAAACTTGACTTGATCCTTGTGACCCAATTAGTGACAATGATTGAACAACCAAATCTGGCGCAGTATTATCCTGATGAAGAGTGTCAGGAGCCAGGAAAAGTTACTGAAAATGCATTTTTTAAAAAGCATGAGGACACCAAAGTGCAAGTGACACAGTCAAGATAACAAAATTGCCAATTCTTTCTTCAAGGTTAAGCAAAGAGCCTGATTATTACTAATATTAATGATCTGTGCACTATTTTATCCACGAGCTTTATAGTAATAATATTTATTAATAGATGCCACTGAGAAGAATAAGTAACTTAATTCTTTCAATATGACACACTTTTATAGGTTGAAATGAAGCTTATAAAGGTTACCTATTAAGTACAATTGAAATCATATTTCCACAAAGTATATTTCAATTGAAATTTAGGAAAACTCTACATGGCATGGCTAATAAGTTTGGAGACAATATTATATACAGGATATTTAAGTGACTAAGCCTGGACCAAAAAAATAAAAAGGTTTAAAAAGCGTAACATTCTTTTAAAAAATACATACATTTTAAAGAAAATAATAAAAGCAAACAGTACAGTCTTAAAGATAAAATTAAAAGCACCGATTCTAGGAAATTCTTCGGAAGCCCTGCTAACGCTTCACTCCCAGGAAGAGAAACAATTTGAGAAACTGCTACCCTGGACCCAGAGTGACCAGCTGGTAAGATTCAGTAAGTGAACAGTGAAGAGGGAAATCCTTAGGTTTCATGGTGGCCAGAAGGGAAGAGGCTGGGCACAGTCATGAATACACTTTAAGTTTTAGGAAGACATAGTTTAAACAGTTTAGACAAAGAGATGGGGAAGAGTCTTGGACAAGAAATTCAGGAAGGATGGGATGGTTTATACAATTCGATGGGTGGGGACTTGGTAACTGAAAACAGATTTTATTTTAGGATATAGGCAATATTATACTATTTTAGGATACAGGCACTATTATACATGAGAGGGTGAAGGACGGTACAGTCAATAAATATTTTCCCAGTAGCTGAGCTTCAGGAAAACGTTCCGCTCTCTGGAAGATGATTTAATTAGTGCCTCCCATCCTGCCATTCCCCCAAATAAATGCTAACAGCAGGATCAGAGATTTAAGTGTCGAAGACAATGCTAGTTATTACAGAAATAATGCTAGTTGGAAATGCAGGTAAACGATTGATTTTAAAATGTTTTTTAAAAAAATATATATTTTATTGATTTTTTTTTTTACAGAGAGGAAGGGAGAGGGACAGAGAGTTAGAAACATCGATGAGAGAGAAACATCGATGAGAGAGAAACATCGATCAGCCACCTCCTGCACACCCCCCACTAGGGATGTGCCTACAACCAAGGTACATGCCCGACCGGAATCGAACCTGGGACCCCACAGTCCACAGGCCAATGCTTTATCCACTGTGCCAAACCGGCTAGGGCAATGATTGATTTTATATGCAGAAAATGGCAAGACGCCTGTCAATTTTGGTTGTAAAGAATAACTACTAGGGATTTTTTTAGGACTCACTTTCAAAATCTCTGCTAATAAAGTCTATCCCCATCTGTGAGCCTTAAGTTAATAAATAACCTGACATTTACAATTTCTGGAGAGAATAACTTTAAGGCACTTTAAAAACCAGGGAACTTAGGATAAAGTCGCTCTTTACTGAAATCCGACAATCTTAAGGAGAACTCACCTGCAGCAAATAACAGCTTTGCACGACAAAGCTAGGTCCAGGAAGTAGTGGCGCACTCCGAAAGTTAAGGCGTACTTGAGGGTCTTCCCGTCAATTATAAGTGCAAAATCATTCTCCTTCCGAAGAGCATCGCCAAGCGTGGTGCAGTGACGGCTGAGGGTTTCCCTCGTCCCCTGTAAAAGTGAACAAAGAAACAACATGCTCATTTGTTCTACCTTAAGGATGTTCAGCGACTACAGTTAGCTATTGCTAGTGCTTGAGGCTTTCAGGTACCTCCATTCATTTGATTCTCACAAAAGCCCCTCGAAGGAGATGGGATAAACATTATCAGGAGAAATAAGTTGCTTGCTTGAAGTCACACGTGTGTTCCTGCAGGGATGGGACTAGATTACATATCACCCAATCCCCTTCGATCTTTGCTCATTACTCTAACCACACAATCATAATCCCGCAAAAACATGTTCAGCAAATTATTTTATTAAAAGACAACAGTGGCATAATTTATGAGCTAGTCAAAACTGCTTAGCCATAAGTCAAGGAGGAAAGTTGGAGAACGTCATTTAAATAATCTACGGGCTTTCTTCCAGAAGCACTCGATGCTACTGAAATGTAATTCCCAGTAACCAACAGGAGAAAATGCAGTATCTATCATCTCTTGCCACTTCACGAATTGGCTCCTGTAACTTTATCACTGTTTCATGATGCTGCATTCTAGTTGGGGATGGTGACATATGGCTTAGTAATCTTGATGGATCAAACAAAAGAACCCCTTCCATCAATGAAGAGTTCACGTTCAGGTACAATAAAAACCTTTAGTGTCAAGGAGAGCTTTGTTCACCTCAACTATACAGAGACTGCCTGCCCAGTTCTTCAAAGGCAAAATGTTTCAGGATATTTAGTTTTTCTCCCCAAATCCTGTCGATTCTTCCTGAAAGCTAATGAGACCCGTTTCCTGTTTCATAAGAGCCCTAACGTTGTGAAGAAACAGAATCCTGGCTCCGCACAAGGAAAAAAGAAGGAGTGATTCCCTCCTATTAGAGCTTTGTTCTGAGTGCTAATATCTGAGCCTGAAGTTATTTATATAATAAATGCAAATATACATTTATGTAATAAAATAGACCTATAATGAAAATACTCATAATAATTTTTTATTATATTCGTGGGAGATAGAAGTATTGTTCCAATTTAAGAATGTGGTACAGTCATTTCAAAGTTATTTTCACAAAGAGGGGAGCAAAGGCATAGGTGATTAAACTTTTATATTGGGGATTCGGGGAGGTGTTTCTGCAATCATACTCAGGTGTGGCTCACGCTAGGTCCTGGAATTTCAGAATCCGTTGACCAAAATAATGGAACCAGATTGTAAAGCAAGCCGGCCCCATTTCCCCAGCACCGGAGCCTTACTGAACACTCCCCTGCTCCCTGTCACACACTGGCCCCAAGAACCACCACAGAGCAGCATTCTTTGCTCAACTTTCTGTTCACACTTTATATTGAGGGGAAGTAGCTATTTTAATTTATAAGCATCATCCTATTTCCTGCTGGAAATGTTTGGCCCAAGAGGAATTAAGAAAAGGGGGCCCTCCCCCGCCCCCCCAAAAAAGTCAGTAAAATTCTGCAAGCAAAATTTACCAATGACAATCTAGAATAGATTAGCCTGGATTGTTTTAAAACTGCCTTCACATAGAGTAAATGAACAAACAAGTGAATTACTGAACTGATAAACAATACAAATGAAGTGAGACAGTATTTAGCATGTACCACACACTAGGCGTGGTTCTAAGGGCTACACATACAGATATAACATTTCAGTTAAAGGTATGACAACCCTACTCAGAAGGCCTCCTGTTATTCCCATTCTTTAGATGAGTAACATTGAGACAGAGTTCAAGTTCCTTGCCCATGAACACATGGCTACTAAGTCGTGAAACGAAACTGAGAATTAAGTTTCTGTGTGAGCTTGTCTTTGCACAACCCAGCAAAACAAACCCAACTTCATCCAGGACCAGGCCTAGCAAATTATACATGGAATGCCCACGCATTCCCTCTGCTAACTCCCTAGAGCCCCATCATCTGTCTCCCATCTCTCTACCGCCAACAGAGACTTCTCTTTATGAAACAAATTTAAAACACAGATCATGTCTCTGCTTGTTCTCTTTTCTATGGCTTCCTACTGTCTACACAGTATATTCCAAACACCTTAAAATGGTATTGAAGGTTTTCCGCAACTGAAGCCCAATTAACCTCCATTCTACTTCCCTTTACCATCTCCACCCCTTCATGTCCTCTCTCTGTAACAAATGCCTTTCCCTGCAGAGGCTGGTCTACCACCTTCTAAAACAAGCTCATCTACCAAGCCCTCCCAGACTCATTCCTGTCCCAGGTGTAACTCACTCCATGCTAGCAAGGCCCTCAGTTCCTGGAGGGGACAGACCACCCTTCACCTGCTTTCCAGCAACAAACACAGTTAGCCTGTAAGTACAGATGCTTGGGAAATAAAAGTTATTGAATGAGAGCACTGATCAATTCTGATTTCATCCTATTGGCAGCATTCCATTTCCCCTTCTATTTTATTATCACTTCTGATTTGACAGAGAGAGAGAGAGAGAGAGAGAGAGAGAGAGAGAGAGAGAAGAAGAAGAAGAAGAAGAAGAAGAAGAAGAAGAAGAAGAAGAAGAAGAAGAAGAAGAAGAAGAAGAAGAAGAAGAAGAAGAAGAAGAAGAAGAAGAAGAAGAAGAAGAAGAAGAAGAAGAAGAAAAAAAAAAGAGGGAAGGGGAGAGCAGTATTCTCTTGCCTGCTCCTTACTTTTCTAGAGGAATAATCCATTACTTCAACAGATTTTCAAGTCAACGCATTGCTCACTAAAATGCCACTGTATTTTTCAAAGTGTTTACCCAAGAGTCTCCTGAGCTGAAAACCCAAGTGAAACCTGAGACGGCTCTTGGGAGGACTTCACATTTCTTTAAAGTTCAGCCGTAGAGCGAGACTGAAAGTCCAGTCAACCCCTGAGCTGGGCAAGTTCCCTCATACCTCCTGTGGGACACGGTCTCGGGCCCACTCCCTCCATTGGAAGGTACTCTATAAAGCCTTAACCTTTGCTGAGAATTCTCTTATTTGTGGCATGAGCACCCTGGGTTTCCTTGGTGATTATCACAGAGCTCCAGCAAATCCTAAGGTGTTGGGAGATGTAACTGAGATAAAATATCTGAAGGTGAGTCAAAAACTTCTCACAGTGAGTTCTCCAGCCCAGCCCACCTAAGGTGCAAGGTAACAACAACAAAAATCCTGCAAACGTGTTCTTATTTTAGTTCATGGTTTTCTTTTGCAAGTAGCTCTGGTGTTGGCTGTGTGCTGCCGGTTATGTTATATTTTACCCGTATTTAGACTGCCAGGAGTATTTTAAAATTCCTTTATTTATAAAAGTTTATTGCTTCTCCCCTAAGCCTGGGAGCCATACTTTATGGCCACATTGCATTGAAGCTTATCTCCTGGTAGCTAGAAATAAATTTATTACTATATTAGCTGTTGCTTTGTTTTCATTTTGGCTACTGAAGGGGGGAAATGTTTAAACATTTAAACTTAGTGACATGTGAAAGTGAAAATATATACACGAGAAGCTAAATCAGAGAAAGTATAAAAGACCACATAGTACAACCAAATAAAGGCTCTGTACCTCCTCATTCTACACAGTTTTCTTGGTGGGCTGGAAGAAAAGGAGCAACTGTTGCTATAATCAGGGAGAGTCAGTGGTAAAGGCAACCTGGGGAGACAGCTAGGTGAGGGGCAAGGCTGGGGTTCAGGCGCCATACCACGAAGCGATCTAGGCCAGGGAGGGAGCCAGGGACAGTGGGACTTGCTTGTACCTCCCATAACCTGCATCCCGTGTGGACACTTCAGTCAGTCATTAACTGTATTCGTGCAACCCACAGCCAAGAGCTCCCTGGACCTTCTACCCGCCTGCCAGCCTTGTCAACTCACAACTTAGGCCACAACCAACCTTCTCCTTGGTTCTCAGTCTTAACCACAAAGAAGGGAAACACCACCGTCCCACAAGAGCAGGCTCTACTCCACCGTCTCCTCTCCTAGGGGAGCTCATTGCTACCGATGCAGACCGCCCTCCATGGCCCGTGGATTCCATTGTTCCCAGAGGCTACTCCAGACCTTTCCTTCTTGACATTCCAAATTTGGCCCCTGTCACTTCTGCAAACATCTACCTGCTTTACTGGGAGCATTTATACCCGAAAGAATTCCCTCAACTATCCTCTCTTCACCTAAACACTTCCCTCTCTTTACCTGATCCTCCCTAATTCTTAAGCCAGGGGTTAGAGCCCTCTTCTCCTCACCTCTGTTCCACTCATTTCCTTCTTGCATCTTCCCTTCCCAATGCCATTATTTTTCCCCCTTCAAGACTGCATACTAAAAGCAATGAACAAATAAATAAACCAAGAAATGGTCCCTTGATCCAACATTTACTGAGTCCTCTAGATGCCATAAATACTTACACCTTTTGGATTCTTCAAAGACTTTGTACTTATGTAATGTAGCATGATGTATAATAGCTTATTTGTTTATATCTCTATTTTCCCTTCAGACTGAGGCCTTTGAAAAAGAGATGAAATAAAATGAATAAAAGAATAATGAGATTATTAATGAAGGGAGAATACTTTTTGGGAAGTTACAATGGTTTTTCTTGTGTGACCATTTTGAGGATTGTTTTCTGCTGCCTATAAAACTCATGCATAATATTGGATACTCTTAATTAGAACAATAAGTAAAACAGTAATATGCTTATTATAGAAAAAATAGAGAATAAAGTGGACATGATGACCCAAGGATTACTTCTGTCTCAAATACTATAAATTGTCGAATGAATACAACAAATTGAACATCTTGACTAGCTACTCAGAGATAAGGTCAGGTTGTGTAACAGTGGGCCAATATAAAAAAGAAGAATCTCTTACCCTTTGAGACAGCATGGAGGGACCTGAGAGTATTATGCTAAGTGAAATAAAGTATTGCATGAAAAAGACAAGTATCACATGATCTCACTCATATATGGAATCTAATGAACAAAATAGATCCAGAGACATGGAAGCATAGAACAGACTGACATATTTCAGAGGGAAAGGGGGTAGGGTGGGAAGAGATTAACCAATGAATTTATATGATAACC